ATATAACATGCTGTATAAAAGCAGGATAGTTTCTGGGCCTCTAGGGGCCCACAGAGAGCCAAAGGAGTCAAGCGTGGTAAAATGTCTACCCATATGACGTCTGCCGTTATTCGTTTTTTTGATGGGATGATGATGACACGTTGTACACAAACTGGTTTGGCCAAGCCACGTCCCATTCCACCTCCGGACATACTGCAGACTCTGTGATCGAGCGGTAAAGTGATGCTCTTGCGATGTCGCTGGTGGCGTGGCTTTTTCATGTAAGCTTAGGTCTTATCTTTGCAAGGCTACAGCAGATTATAACCGAAGTACAAAAGGTTGGTTTTACGATATCTCCGCCAACGTTCTAACACTTCCGTCGCCATCTACTCTGACTGAACCGTAAATTTTAGGCTTCTTGATCAGTTTCCTTTATAATTTGGAGAGAGTTAGCCTTTTAAGCGATCGCGACACAACGTTGTCCAAGTAAAGTGTTTCACAAATGAACCGCTATCGTTCGAATTTTGCGTACCAGCCTCATGACTATCGTAGAGAGGAGGTTCTAGCACACCATAAATAAACATTGTGCTTGAACAAGCCATCTTGAGGTGTCCATCTGCGATGCTTCTTTTCGTCTGATGTGTGCTCCAAGAGACCTCAGGGTAGATGCGTACCTTACAAGCCCCGTGTTGTAGCGCACCTGCAGAGAGTAAAACGTTTTCTACATCAATGGTGGATTCCACTGTCTATCTAATAATGGGTTCACCATAGTGTGCAAAGTTCGGATTATGAGTAACTCTCACTAGGTTTGTGGGTTTGATTTTTACGTTCATAAAAATGCACAGTGAGTTCCACTGGACATGGTCGTCAAGCAACTTACCCCGCAGTGTGATGGTGGCAGATTCGGGACATTTGTGCACATGATAGCCACGGCGTTACCGTTGGACTTAATTTTCTTTGAACTGATAGGTCGCGTGATTGTTGAGTTTGTCTTTTGCCACGTGATGATGGCTTACTGTTTGTTGCTCTATTGGCCTTAGCTGTGTTTGCAACAGAGGAGACACTAAGTGTAGCATCCCGAGGGACTTTTGCAACCATCTCTGCAAATATGTTTGAACTCTCGAGGGACTGAACTCTACCGGAGACTCTAGGGTTGCAGACACAGTAGACTGGGTTTCGGCTGTCCAATCCTTGTTAATAATACAGGTTGTCAAGACCGGCTGAATTTGATCGATTACACGTTTCCAGTAGTGCCGGATTTTTGTGGTCCTGAGTACCGTTCGTCTATCAGAGCTACGGTCTGTTTTCTACTGGCGTTCTTCAAAAGTTGAAGAAGATAATGGCAATGGGGACCTTGTCAACCGTGGTTCGAGCGCAGCTAACCTTACACCACCGCTTCGCTTTGAAGCCACTACGTTATCCTGGTGCATACTCGCTTTCAGCGATATCATATTAGTGTTCGTTCACCTTTGACTTCTTTTCGAGGTTATATGTTTGGAGACAGATAAACATTCATTAAGATGTCGAGGCACACTGTGCAACAGTTTACTAGGTAATGTCACGCGCGGTTTAGGATCAGTACACACAGCAGTCTTCCTTCGAAAAGTATAATAGCTGAACCGCTCCATCGCGTAGACGATAGCGAGCATCCCCTTTTTGATCTGTGCATAACGTCGTCCCGCCACCGTGAGCGCCTGACGGCAGAAATCCAAATGTTTACTATGCTGCATGAGAATAGTGCTTTTTCGGCTCTGGCTGCTGTCAACCACAGCTTCAAAGGCACAGCTGGATCGTGATAACCGAGTATTGGTGCACAGCTAACATGATGCTTGATGGTTGTAAAAGCGGGCTTCCGCTCTTTTCCGCAACTCCGCTTAATACCTTGGTGCGTCAGCCTCCGGATGGGTGTCATGAATTCAACGATTCCCGGCTAAAATAATTCACCGTGCCACTTAAACCACTAGCAGATTCGGCATCCTTAGGTCGCGACATATCTTGTGCTTCCTTGATTCTTCTGTGATCGATTTTATTTTTTGGGATATCAGAACCTATCCATGAAAATTCACTTCCGAGTTCCATCGCTCAAATTTCTCGCGTTTGAGCTCTATGTTCTTTTGCACGCATCCCTGTGAAAGGTGGTGCAGAGTGGCGTCCAGTTACTGTCCGGCGAAGCCGTAAATTAGCGCAACGTCTGTTACACATGTTACGCCGTCTGTATCGTCAAGCGTTTTCAATAACCCTTCTTGTAAATTTCCCCTCGAAACCTTTAAACCAAACGCTAAACATGGTGGTCGAAAACGTCAGAAGTGTGTGGCAAACGTCGTTAAAAAACTGGATTCTTCGTCTGGGACAACATACTGGAACGCCGATAACAGATCAACCTTGGTGATGTAATTTGTCTTGACCAAAGGCGCCAAAACATCTAATGTTGGTAGCGTATAATGTTCGTATAATGTAGGTAAAGTTTCATTCAACGGCCTATGATATATACACAGACGCAACTAACCGTATTCTTCCCAACAATCGCGCGTTTACTGACACAGTCTCTCGACTCGTTGATCTAAGCGATTACGTCTAACGGCACCAAGTTATTTAACTCGGTGGTGAATATGTCAAGTAAAACAAACGCAACCCTTCTAGCCGGCAGCACAGTCGTCGTATCGACGGGGCTAGTGACGACTAAACTGACTACTCAAGCCTCCACAAACTTGGGCTAAACACGAACGGATGCTGTTCACTAGCATCTCTCTCCGCTTCACATGCATTCACAAAATGATCAGTATTGAAATGAACAGCGCCAAGACATTGGATGGAATCAGTGCGGAGAACAGGCGTAAGGTCTTCCTTCACGACCAAGAATTTCATAAGATGTGAAGAGCCGTCTTTGGGTCTGTTCAATTTGATTTTGGAGCATGGAGCTTGGAACCGTTCCACGTGCATAGGAATCCCTAATCAGGTGGAAGGCGAATTGCTGCACACCACTTCACAGGTGTTAGGTCGATGGTAGGACCCGTGTCTAACAGGAAGCGCACGATTTCGTTACCAACCAATAAACTTGCGTAGAGGCACTTCTTTGGTCCCGTCCGCGACACGTTACAGATTGAATATTCACTCGGAGGATTTTGGGTCAGGACTGAGCGGAATCATTTTGGAAGACTGGCAAGATCGAACGAAACGAGTTCGTCTGCCCCATTTGATGCAACTTCGACCCCAAGTCGAACATTGATCACAAGCCTTCTGGTGTCGCGCAGCTCATAATTTGTATGTTCTTTGTGTCTTGGTATAACTGGCTTTTCACAGCTATGCATCAGATAGCGACCGCATTTGCTGGATGTGGTGTGTAGCCGAGGATTCACTGAAGAATCAAGACATTGTCTGAGCGATAAATGTCGTTGCTACAACAGCCGCTTGTTGACGTTTGCATCAATGATGCCCAGAACGATTCTATCTCGGTGAAGACTATCAGCTATACAGTTTCAATATTACAGGAACGAGTCAAGATTTTCAGCTCCATAACCTAGCTCTTGACAGATTCGTTCGGAAGCGTAGTTGGAGTAAAATACAAATATAGCTGATTTGTCTCCTTAGTCTGACCCTCGCGGGAACGCCGAATTTTCGGATGACTATTTCAAGATCATCTACTTCAATCCAGTTGCTTTTCCAGCTCCTTCAATTACGGGTTAAGTTGTGTTCTTTCACCCTCAACATGGCAGGTGTTAGCACGACTGGATGTGCACCAACTAGCAACTGAGCACTACGTCGGCGACCTGACCTTGGTTTTCGATGACACCATGTCGCAGAACGCGTTCTTTCACGGACAAACGGTTTATTCGACAAAGCAAGCTCAGCAAAATCGATAGCATAGTAAGAATATAGCAACCTCCATGTTAATAACCAGGTCAATTCCATAACTAAAGACGTTTCTGCATTCATGAAGTTTTTCCTCTGAATCGGTTCTAGATTTCCGCTCCAGAGTAGCCAACTACGAACCGATCAGCTCATAGGCCAAATATGCGTATGACTACAAGCAACTGCTCGGTTCACTTGCGGCAACCTACATGCTTACATCGTCATGCAAATCCGTATTGTTATTCTACTTGCTCAATCCCATCATGGCTGTCTTATCGGATTTGGCGCCATCGAACAATGAACAATGAACAATGCTTTATAACGGGTAAAAAAGCCGGTGCTTGACATGTCCCGTAGGGTGTATAGCGCGATAAAAAAGATAGCGAATGGATAATGGAGTCTTCAGTTCGGGCGCTTACAGATGTAACTGCACTGTCGTATAGAGGGAGTTTGAAATGAGAATGTACTCACACAAAGCAACAGGGGAGTGGTTATTGTTCACATCATAGGCGAGAAAAATAAAAAAAAGGTAGCAAGGACAACGCTTACTCGTGTGCAACTATCTTGGGTCGACAGGATACAGTAATCCAGTCTCTGTAGTAGTAGCGTTTATCAAATTTCGTGTAAGGAGTTTGGAATGACTCATTCTCGAGTAGGGTTATGGCACTATCCCCTGTCTGTTGTGCATTAGTGCCAGCATCTGGTCATGAGCTATAGCACGTAGTGTAAATGTGACAGGGTATCGTCAAGGGGTTTTTTGAAAAGGGATAGGGTGGGTGCGTTAATTACATGATCCGGGAGGGCGTTCCAAGACTGTGCCACTCGAAGGGAGAAATAGTTTCGCCGACATTCCAGGCAACTGTACTGCGTCACTAACTTAAACTGGTGATTTCTGTTTTCCGATTCTGTTTTCCGACATATTCAATTCCAATTGAGCCCTATTTAGTTGTTATTGTTTTGCTCAATATACTTAACTATACGAATGCACCTTGGGTCGAAACAACTGTACCCTCTTATCTCGGTCCCCGGTTACTAACACAAAACAAAGCGGTGCTTTCCTAGCTGTGGTTGCTTTACCTTACCTATTGAGTACATACCTACTCTAAGCACACGCCACGTTTACTTTCAGTTCATTACAGTTTAAACTGTTTTTACTTCCTTCCTCGTTTCAGGTTTGCACGATCCGACGGCCTTCTTTTCCACGGGAACCAATGACAACTTATTAAAGTGGGAACGTAAAGATCGAACTCATTTCTCATATGTGTATGTATGGTCCTATTTCAGCAGCTTACGTGTTGTGTTTGGTAGAACAACAGTATCACTTTGGTACAGTATTAGCAATTTATGTTTCCAGGTAGGCACCCGGATTAGTAAATATTAATTGGAACAAAATTAGGGAGATTAGCGTTAAACTAGCTTGTTGAAGCGGATGAGGTTGGTATATCTGTCATTCGCCTTTTGTAATTCCACTTTCTATCATTGTTTTCTATCCAGCTTGTAGGTTGCTATCAAAAGCGGAGTCAGGAATCCCACAAATACCGGTACCCAGTTTTACTTGGTAATAGACTGAAAGGCAGATAGCTACAAAAAATCCTGCCATAGTAAACACTTTGTCTGTCCTTCAACTTGCGAAATCAAGATGCTGCTATTTCAGAATTATTGTTCAATTAACAATGAATAATTAGCTAGCTAAAGATTACAGTCGGCATCAGACAGCAGTACTTTTGTTTGATGGTTGCAACAGCTGGTATTCAATGAGGCTGACCTTACCGTAAAACGGTGGAGTTTGATGGTATAATTTCTATGGGTCACGGTTCAATAGGTGGAGCTAAAGACCAAGCTGATAGCTAAAAGATCAATTGAAAGATTATTATTCCAAACAAGTTCTATCATGGGTAGCATAAAATTGCGTTGTTTAGCAATCTCTCCATCTGTTGATTTTTGCTTTTTCTGTGGCAAACTGACTACATAACCTCTGTTATTCTATTCATTAAGGTTGAATGTGAAACAAATCGCATGATCTTATTCACCTTTGTTTCCACCATATAACTACTTTTACAAAGATTTCAGTTCTGTGTCAGCTTTTGGAATGAAGAGTAGTCGGTTCTACGACACCACCGGTCAGATAGAGTACGCACAGATAAGGCGATCCAAAGAGATGGAGAGGCCTTCAACCTTTTTCCGCATATGCACTGCCTGCAGTGGTGTCGAACTTCATTCAAAACAATTTTGCAGCCGCATAGGAGAATGCGTCGTTAGAATGGATAACCCGGGGTAACTTTAGAGGATGTAAGGTATTCTCGCAAACAGGCAAATTTCACATAGATAATACGATGGATAACTATATAATGGTAGAGAACCATGTTGCAAGGCTATTGTAAATCGTTTTACTTCATGGATGTATTTCCGAAACACGATGCCAGCAAGTTAAGGCAACAGGAAAAAAGACAAACAAAATGAGGGGCGCGCCGAAGTTGCACAATATAGGTAATCCGCTACGGCCCATCAGGTGCATGAACAACGCCCCGTACCACAAGATTGTTAAATGCTTGGCATAACTTATGAAACCCGTTCGCTGCCTGCCATCTACACATTGCTCAAGTGACTGCCATAAGCTGTTGAAACACTGGGGCAAACGATGATGGATACAGAGTGAACAAGTTCACTTGCTACTTTAACCAGAGAAAAAATGTGATCTTCAGGAACCCGACAGTGATTTGCCATAAACACTCAAAAATCGTGATGTCAAAGATGATAACTTAACTATCCAGATAAGTAGGAATTCGGATATCCCCAACAGAAGATTCTCTGTGTTGGAAACAAAGGATTTTTCTGCTAATGAAATATTAGGCTCATTCCTGGAGGAATACGTCAAAGAATGTCTCAAAACTTTACTGATGTGACCTTATCGCAATCCGTTATATTCCCAACCGGTGCGATATCTCTGATGCCCAGTTTTCTGGCTCAACATCAGTGAAACTTTTATCTCAGACTGTGCGACAGACGTCGCACCGTTTGATACTGATCATCCTACACTATCCCAGCTACGAACTGAGAATGGAGGAATACAAATACAACGCATTTGCTTCGCGTAAGGATTACGGATATCCGTGTCAGTTAAAAGTGACAGTATTAGCACTGGATCTCGCTCCGCAACAAACTATTCCAACTCATTCGCTCAGATATCTTCGGATTATTTGGAGATAAAGGTGCTCAGATTATTCATGAAACTACGTTTGCTTCACCAACCTTATGTCTAGGTCTTCTATGTGGTTGGTCACAATGGAGTAAGTGGTTTCTTCTCGGTTCTTTCATCATAAGCTCTGCAAATATCTGATGCCGATCGTTCATAGTTGAAAGTTGATAACCTTCCATCATACTGTGGGTATGATGTTCATAATACTTTAAAAAGAAGTTCTTTCTTAGGACCTTTTTTCAAGTCTCTCCTCAGGCCTTTGATTTCTGGTTATGTCAGCCGGCCATTCTTCTTGTAACTGATAAGTCGCTGAGCACCATCTTCCTTTCCTATACATACACTTGCTGCTTAAAACGACTACTTAAAACTACTACGGTCTTTTCGTTCGGCATAACTACACTCGACCAACTACTCTAATTCATCTCTGTCTACAAAAGCGCATTCAAAACAAGTTTAAGAATATTCAGTACTGTCCTACTGAAACAGGGTAGATAACTAGGATCCCTCTGCCTGAAGAGAAACAGTCACGTACGCATTTGAAACTTTAACGTACGAAATTTTCTGCAGTCTTATGCAGTAGGTCACAGGCCAACTAATTCATTTGCATGCCGTTTATTCAAAAATTAATATACAAAACTCTTTTTGCTATTTCGCATTGTATGCCCTCTCGTTGGTTCATTTTCTCTATAATTCGCGGACAAAACCTCTAAATAACTCCGTATACGCCTTGTACAAACCCTCTGTTAAGCACATCAAAATGCGATCTTTAAATGTGCTTATTTAGTTCAGTAGCAAGCGAAGAATCTTCTGCTTTTGTTTACAACCTCACCAAGTACTCGTGAGGTGCTAGTTTTACCTAAATCGGTTGGAGTCAGTGGGAAAGTTTCGGTGAAATGTTTGTGTCATTAAACTCTTTTCACCTCTCGTTCAGTTTTCATGTTGCCAAGTGACAAAAAAGATTAGCAGTTAACAAATAGATATTACTAGTCGCTACTGTGGCATACTGTTTTTTTGCCCTCCACGAGATTTGTTTTAGCTGATTTTGTGGATGCGATTGACCATAGCCTCTCATATTACACACTTTTGGTAGTCTGCAGATTATCTACACTCATTTGTGCATGCTCCTCTCTTAATAAGGAGTTTTGCAGGAGCATACGGACTAAGAAACAAAATATCCCCGCTGGCCTTGATTGAATAAGCTTTTTGTCCCCATTTTTCACGAGAACTTGTTAAACACCACCAGCTTTGAAGATACTCAGTTCTTATATCATGCCTTTTATCATATATATGGCGTTTTTGGACTCCCATCGGGGATCTCATTTTAGACTGCGGTTGCACTGAAGTGGGAAAAGGTCATTTCAACAGGTTCGAAATTACGAAGTTTTATAAGTGGAAACGGTTCCAACGGTTTCCGTCCCAGACCATCTAGTACACAACTGGTTTCGTCCTTACGAAAATCAACAAATCGAGTTAACGGGCCACCAGTGCATGTATAGTACAAGCAAAGTACGAGACAACTCTTGAAATGCAGTGCTGATAGCTATGGATTCTGGAAATATCTCCGCTGAATGTTTTCATGTCGTGAGAAATATTGGCCATGGTAGTCGTGCAATTATCCTTGCATTTGCCGTGTGGGCTTTCGCCCAGACGCATGATACAGACTACATATGAAATGCATAAGCTGATTTTGTCTATTAATCAGTACTTTCCGCCAAAAGCTAGGTACTATGTTCGAGTTTTCATCTTACTTTCGTCAGACGCTAAATTACACCAGCGATTTGCGGCGATCTCGTAAATAATAAAACATTTATCGTGTCGACTCCTTCCTCACATACGTCCTAATGAAGTATACGCTTTAACAGGACTGTTATATCTGCGTTCCCAACTATTGTTTGATTTTGTGTGTCAGTTGTACGCCGTAACGGCGCTTCGCTACCGCACGACCACCACCAGTCGCGCGCGGGCTGAGTATACCGCGACGACGCCCAGTCACACGCGGATTCGAACCGGGGACCTTATGGTTGCAAACCAAACGCGCAGACCACTCAGCCACCGGTTGACCAACCAAGGAAGTGGATTAAAGAGCCACGAATCTTGATGTCCAGACCCTTCGCAGCACAGTAGCTAAGGTGATGGTTTTCAGCCCTCAAAACCTCTGGGCACCAGCCCTCGCATCATCTGTGGTACTATACACCATTTTACACGCATGCTAGTGCATTGTACCAAGCTTGTAACGTGACACATTTACGAAATCGCTTGCAGTGCTTTCAAGTTAGCGAGGTTTCCTTCAGATAGGCATCAAAATAGAACAGAAGGTGGAACTCGACCACTTTCAGTGGACTGTCTGTCGCTTATGTCGTGGGTTTCCTACCGGTGACCCATTGGGTAACGTCCCATGACCAATGAGAGTGTCAACGACGCCAAAACACCGTCCTTAGCCTCGCTAACCTGAAAGCACTGCACGCGATTTCGAAAATGTGCCACGCTAAAAGCTTGGTACAATGCGCTAACATGCGTGTAAAATGGTATAGATCCAAATTGAATTAGTTTCGCTTTCTCCTTCATGATTCAGACCACCGAATGCCAGTCTCACCCATCCGCTTACTTTCCCGCCTGGTGGCTTTTCGAATTTTCTTATTAGCTAGAAGCAGTTGACAGGTCTACATCCCACAAGCAATCCCAAAGGTATTTTGAACATGTGTGTAGTCACTTATTAGCATTGCAGTCTAAGTGATAATAAAAAATTGTTTAACAAATAATTGAACTTATTTACAAATTGCCAGACACAGTTCGACTGGACGAACTCATTTGTTCTGAGTAATAATACTAACCTTTTGTACTGAATAAGTAAATGGGTCTATATTTGTCGGTACTTGCTCATGTTCGACCTATTTGCATAATAATTCAATCGGTTGCTTAGCGCATGAAGCAGTTTTCCTGTAGTTCTCTTATTCTAACATCAGCAACGGTGATAACAGCTTGTGTTTAACTGCTAAGATCGATCATCTAGCAAGACCAAAGGTAATTCAATGCGGTGCGAAAATATTATAGCAGTGTGCATGTTTTTCTGGTAGGGAAGCCGCCAGAATTCCGATTTGGCCCAATCTAGAAATACATGGTAGTTTTATACTGGCTGTGAAAGTTTCGGATAAAACTCGCTAACCAAAAGGAAATCAGTACTGACATATAGGTTTACGTAACGGTTTTATCTCACAGCCCAAGTTAGAGTGCAGGAATAAAGTAAAAAGATGGAACACAAGGTCATCAATAACTCAGGCAGTTAAAGTAGGATGAGTGGTATGCGGAAGAATTGCTAATCACCAACCGCTCGTTTCCTGTTACTAATTCCGGTATGCTGATAATTTGCATCTGGTATTCTGCTACTGATTTTCAAGATTCATAAGCCTAAACCAAGAGATGGCAGAAATCCGAGGGTCATTTGTACAACTTCATCAATCTTTACCCTTAGATTGTATGCATCGTTTTACGATTAGGAAAAAATCCACCTGAAATTATTTCACTTGGAAGCTATAGAAAAGAGTACATAACGACCCCCAATAATTAAGTGAGCATTAAAACAAGAGATCATGTAACAGCAAGGCGCGAACTCAGAGTAAGGAAAATTATTAAAAGTAGCATACGATAGTGAGGCCGTTTCAAAACGCATGCGTGGCATCCGGAATACCAACGAGTATTTCTGTCTGTAGATTCATTAATGCCGGCATCACACTGCATGAGTCAATGCTTGAACAAACGGTTTCCGTTTGCTAGTTCTGAGGAAATCCACATTCACGAGTCAATGAAACAGAGTCTGCTGGACACAGTGAACCAACGGCTTCGAGAGGTTCATGTCCCACGGGATGACATCCATGCTTTCAAAGCCATGTTCCCGCCGACTATATTTTTAACTTCCTCGACAACGACAGACAGACCGTGCTACTCGGCATCATGCACATCAATAGCAACAGAACGAAGTGATTCAATTACATCGCTTACTAGTCGAAGGAGCAAGCAGAAGACCCGAGACAAGCTGTCTCGTCAAATCGTCTTCAAGATAGACGAAGTGAGTCAGGATTTCTTATTCTGAAGTATTATGACTCAGACGCCCAGACGCTGAAAGTGTAAAGACGAAAGTTCCAGAACTTTACTTGCGCACGCATAATTCAGCTATAAGGTTCTATTATGCGGGTACCAAGATCAAATTAGGTTTGCAAGGAATGTAGCAGTATCATTTAGGTAGGCGCAAAGAAAGAAACGTGGCGGTCACTTATGTCAATTACCCTTCTGGTAGTAGCATAATTCTCTAAAACAACCACTTTAATCACGTTAATTTACTTCCGATATGAGTAGACGCTTCGATTAACAGACAGTTCCGGCTGACGCATTCTATACAATATATGTACTATATATATATATAGATATAAATAAATAAATGTTATATTCCTCGGTGTTTCGAGGTGCAGTCCAACCATATATATATATATATATATATATATATATATATATCTATGCTGAGATTGACTTTGCATTCATGATGCTTCCCCCCGCAGTTGAGCTGAACCAAATTGCATTAGGTATTTTTAAGTTGGATAACCTTCATACCACTTTAGTTGGTTTTTCTGCCTACCTGAATAATCTCCTATTATATTGCGCATGATGCCTACGCTAATTGCCTTTATGTTCCTTAAATTTATCGCGTCAGTTACATTTTTTCAATAACTTGTGGACATTTTGTACTTATCTCGGATTCGTTGGCCACCTGTTTATTTCATACGCTCATGTAGGAAAGAGTTAAGTCACCGTTTTTAGATGCGTTATTCGACTTATTTCATTTGATCTCGTCATTTCAAGTGACTGGCTGTTGTTTGATATCCCTGGTGTGGCTGTGCTTGATGTGCATGTTGACAAGGTGCCTACTTGTCGTTTTTACCCAACAACTTGCCCACACTGGCTCCAGTAGACAGTTGGTCGTTTCTAGAGGGGACAGAGTACACCGTCCTTGTGGCCGTGCTAGGCTCGGAGAGTGGTTCCATGCACTCAGTGTGGATCGGACTACGGTCCAGCCAGCGCCTTGTGTGCGCTTGATTTCCCAAATACAGCGGGTTTGTGTCTGCCTGTGAAGGAGTGTGGGCCGACTCCGTTGATTAACCGTGGCTCACATCCAAATGCCGCCCGGTCTTATTCCTTCGGGTTTACATTGGAAATGGTTGTGTGGTTGGAGCTGTGGATGGAGTAGCGCAAATCGCCCATGGTCACTCTGCAGACGCAGGCTGTCTCCAGTGACATCAAATCCGGAATCGGGTGTCGCCAACCATATATATATATATATATATATATATATATATATATATATATATATATATATATATATATATATGAATGTTGCAAAAGGATCAATGATTTATTGCGGGTAAAATGCATATGCTTGACAAGCCCAGTAGGATGATGCACTGAAAGTTAAAATTAAACGTATCAGATAAGTCAATCATTAGTTGAAACGTCTACCGAGTAAACTGCAATGGTACACAATGTTAATTCGAAGTGGGAGTGGAATCTGCACACACACAGAATAGTGGGCATAGCAGTTATAGTTCACGGAAATGACAACGCTCACTCGTGCGCCGCTTCATTTTAGTGATATGATATGCTAATCCAGTTAAGGCTCATCCAACGTAATCACATAAAACTGATGCATGTGTCCTCACCACCACGTTTCGGAGTGGGCTGTTAAGCTTATTATGTGACTCACGTTTTGTCGTTCCCCGACTGAAATGAACTATATCAAATAATGCAAGCGCGAAAGTGTGTCACCAAGGCGTCTTTAGAAATCACTAATGTATAGGCAAAGATAACGGGATTTTGGCAGGTGATTCCATATTCTGGCCACCTGAAGAGAGAAAACGTTTTGTCGACCACCAAGCCGACTGTAATGCGTGGTCAGTATGAGCTAGTGACCTCTCAGTTTGGTATTTTGGCTCAGCTACAACACGTTACGACAAGTATGAATTTGCTTCGTTAATATTAAGTAAACCATGCTGAGGTCTCCTCACCACTGTCCAATCTCAGGGCCTGCGATTTGCTCTGGTATGGGAGGTTAGAGAATTCCCTAACGAGCGTGATCGCTCTACTTTGGGGAGATTCAAGTGCATAGGCGCATTTGTGCCAGGGATGTCAGGCCTTGTTTGCGTATTCCACTTGGAGCCAAACGTGAACGTTTAGCAAATTTGGGAACCTTTGATGGCACGGAATTTCCAAAATCCCTCGATAAGCGTCTAAGACGTTGACTGACTCTATCCGGTGCCTTCTCAGCATGTTTCGAGCAACCAAGTTCATCCTGCCCGATCACCCTGAGATCACTTTCCTAGGAAACATGTTGCAAATTCTTGTCCCTAATTCTTAGCAGTGGCAAAATATAAAGAGCGGAACGATAATTAACACGTTAATGTCCAAGAGCGACAATTGATGCAGCTACCCAGAGTATGCTCTACTCGCTGCTTCTAATCAGTATCAGTATGAGTTTCATAGGTAATATGATGGCGTACGCTCACGACTTTACATTTCGTTATATTAAGATGGAGCCGGTTTTTGTATGACCACTTATAGGCCCTGTCGAGATCGCTCTGCAGTGCCGTGTGATCGCCCACTATCTTGATGTCATGCTGCCTTATGTAATCGACTACAAATACTAAGAAATATGACTGGGATACACGAGCAAGACCGTTGATGGATACTAGGAATAAACTTGCACCCAGTGCCGATCCTTGGGGAACGCCACAGTGGACGTAAATGAGATCAGCAATGGTGCTGCAAACTTTCGCATTCAGCTAATGCTGAAGAAGAAGGTCACCGGTTAAATGGCTCCGAAGATTGCGATGGAGAAAAACATGCAGACGATGTCCACTCTTACTCTGGCATCAGCCGATTCGGTTCGGCTTGCTAAGGCTAGAAGCAATTTTGTAGCACAAGACAGATTTTGGCGGAATCCGTGCTGCTGTGACATTATGAAGTTTTTGTTCTCAAGCTAATCAATGAAAGCCACTGCGATAATAATTTCCGTTGATTTGGATAGCACTAGGGGAGAACTATTGGGCGGTAGTTCGAGGACTCCGCATGATTCCCACCCATGTAAATAGGAGTGACCATACCATGGTTCTACATCGTAGGAACCTGCATTTCATCAAGACCGCATTGTAAGAACTGAGCTAATCATTCGGCAGTGTTCATGGCGGCTGTTTTCAATGCTTTCGTTCTGGTGTCGTCCACACCAGAACATCTGTGCACGCACAATGACAATAGTCTTTTCATCACCTTGGCTGCGTGAACAATATGTGGTCTAACCATAGTGGCAGTGGGAGACGTGTCAAAAGCGGATGGGATGATGGTTCACTGGAAGTGTAGTTGAAATGTTGGGGAAGCGCGCCAGACCATTTATTGCATGTAGAACTGGAATGTCACGCTGCACACTGCGGAGCTTGTTGACGTACCTTAACAGCAGTTTAGAATTAGTGCTGAATTTCTGTTGGTGACGAAGTATGTCTTCACGGATCAACTTGACGCGGTGGTTTCCATGAGTTGGGTATGCATCCCAGGTCTCAGTACTCAGACAGGTTTTATAAGCCCGCCAGGATGAATCTATTAAGACCATGCATTTTCTAGTACTGCTCCTCAGAAGGACCTCATATGCTTCTGGTGAAAATCCTTGCTTTCGGACGCGTTAGTCACTACCCCGGTTAATTGGATGACAAATGCCATCCAGGCGACATCGAACGGCTGCGCCGCTAGGAAAGACCGGTCGTTTTCTTAAATGAGGGCGGACGGCATATCCTAATGGGTGACGACGTAGATGTCATGGTGGTTTTCGCTAATATACTAGTAGAATATGCAATAAAAGGACAACGTCGATTGATTGCTACAGCCAAGCGGTGCATCTAATTTTACGGCATCGTCCACTAGTTCCTCGATGGTGAGCACAAGGTGGAAAACAGATGGCGCGTCACCTGTTCTGCATCGTGTGGGAGAAGTGACAAGGTTGTACAGAGGTACAAGGGCCATAACCTCTTAAAAGTCGGCGTAGAATTGGAAACATTATAGTGTTGCTCACCCCAACACTGGCACTCGAAGACCGCGGTTTCGTCCTGGTTGGGACTCATCAGTTCGAGATAGCCTGAGTTGGGCCGGAACTCAGAGTCTGGTGGCTCATGGTTGACACCATAAGCACTATGCCACTGAGATCCACGAGCAACGCTTGGTCCAGCGAGAACGAATGCAAAGTTGGACTGGGAGGCTCCGCTGGTGGTTGGGTTGCTACAAGCAGCCTCTATTGAGACCTCGGTTCACTTGAGGTGGACCTCGGTCATTCCGATCACAAAGACCGTAAGTAAAATGGAAACATTATAGTGTTACTCACCCCAACACTGGCACCCGAAGACCGCGGTTTCGTCCTGGTTGGGACTCATCAGTTCGAGATAGCCTGAGTTGGGCCGGAACTCAGAGTCTAGTGGCTCATGGTTGACACCATAAGCACTATGCCACTGAGATCCACGAGCAACGCTTGGTCCAGCGAGAACGAATGCAAAGTTGGACTTGGAGGCTCCGCTGGACCAAGCGTTGCTCGTGGATCTCAGTGGCATAGTGCTTATGGTGTCAACCATGAGCCACTAGACTCTGAGTTCCGGCCCAACTCAGGCTATCTCGAACTGATGAGTCCCAACCAGGACGAAACCGCGGTCTTCGGGTGCCAGTGTTGGGGTGAGCAACACTATAATGTTTCCATTTTACTTACGGTCTTTGTGATCGGAATGACCGAGGTCCACCTCAAGTGAACCGAGGTCTCAATAGAGGCTGCTTGTAGCAACCCAACCACCAGCGGAGCCTCCAAGTCCAACTCGGCGTAGAATTGTTCGCGGAGTGATGCTGGTATTTTGATCGCGTGACGGCTGAAGTCCCCAACCAGGAGAGCGTGATTGTTTGGCCGTGCCAGGACTCGGTTCATTACAGAAGCTAGGCGGTTATCCGTTTTCAAGTTAGATATTGGAGGATGGTAAACTTGTGCTATCAAACACA